AACTGTGCAAATATGTCACTTTATGCTCAGATATTTGGAACTTGCAGTACATCTGGGAAGTGAAAAAATGCTGGGAAGCATTTCAGATCTTGCAGTTGAGCACTTCAAACAGATGGCTTTTTTCCAGAGAGAGCTATTCCAGCTTTTAAAATTATTCCTCATAAAATTTGACCTAGCTATTTAGGGGTATTACTAAGAGTGGTGGGGAGAAGTGGCATTAAACTTGTAGAAAACAGTGTTGGGTACCTTGAGCAGTAAAATCCTTTGATCTTCTTGCAGTCTCTAATTTCCTGATTGTCGCTGAATATAGAAATGCTAGACATTCTCATTCAAATGATAAAGGAAGTTTGGTGGGTTATTTTTTGTTGATTTTTTTTCACTGAGATGAGACCATGTTGATTTGAATTCAGGTTGAAAATACCAGAGTGTTGATCCTGTATGTTGTACTTTATGAATGAGTCATGAGTCTGTTTTATACTATCTACTTGGCAGACTAGTGCAGAAGCACAATATGAAAAATATGATTTAAACCAAGCATTTCATTAAGCAAAGACATTTGTTACTGGCTTTTCAGTATGGGCCATTAACCTTCATGGATGCTACTTTTCCTGCAATGAAGTTACAATTTTGACACCATTCACTATTTTATGCAGTAAAATATATAACTACATAGAGTTTATGGTAAGTACTATAAGGACTTAGGAAGGGGAGTCTTGTGGGAAGTGCTATATCAATAATGATTTGTTCATCACAGTAGTAATAACATAAACATATTGTTCATCACCATCCAGACCTTATCTTCCTATTTAGAATTATCTACAGAGAATAATATTAGGTAGGTATTCGTGCACAGACCCTCCATGTGATGATGTCTTCTCGGTAGTGTGAAGGCAAAGACACAAAACCTATTTTAGGTGCCCAGAATGGGCAATAGAATTTCTCTTAATTTATCCAAATGAATTGGCAGATACATTTTGAAGCTCCTAGATACATGATATAGATTTGAACATATTTTAAAATAATTTACTTTGTATTTTTGTGATGGTCTTAAGAAAATCCTACTGATAGAAATTAGTAAGATTCCTAGCAAAAGTATTTTATCGCTGTTATTGCAGATGTACAGGTATTTTTCCAGGATATTTTTGAGTAAACTTAATATTCATAAAAAGAAGTAGAAATAGTTCTGACATAGATGCCTTTTTTTACCTGCATTTCCTACAGCAGATGAGGTTACACCTTTCAATTAGGTGAATTTGTTTTTGTCACTTCAGTGACATCTTTCATGGGAATTGTATGGGCCTGACAATTTTTTACCCTCTTTCCATCTGATTCAGAGCTACTGTTCAAAAATTCTGACAATAGCTGTAACAATCTGGTAGTCAAAGCTATATGGAGGACACAGCAGTGCTGGAGCATTTTTACAGTTATTGAGCTATTGGACTTTGAGGGAAATGTTTCAATGCTGTTGCAGTTCTTGTACCCAGGTGGCAGATACATCACATAGGCATGGCTAGTGATTTAGCAGACCAGGTAATTTCAATAGATACATTTCCAGTAACTGACAATGAATGAAGAAGCTATTAATTTAATTACATTTCTACAAAATGCAAAAGTCACATGGTGAAGGTGTTTTTAACTTCTGATGATGGTTGTCATTCCTGTAGCAGTCTTCTCTTCTAAGGTTTGCTTAAAGAAACTGATAACATACAATTAGAGTTGGATGTGACTCACTCCTTCTTATGTCCCACTTGCTGACAAGGGTGTATGTTTGTCACATCTTCCCATATGTTTGCCATCAATTCCCCACCATGAGCTCCTACAGGCTGCAGCCCCACTGTCTTTCTTAAACTCCCTTTATTTTATATTGAGCCACACAAGATAGAGAATATAACACTGTTGTCTGGAGGGCTTTTTTCCTTCCTAATTAAATTTCAAACTCTATTTTTAGCATTTGCATTCAGTTTTGTCACACTTGCAAAGCATGCCAACTGCCCCAGTGAGCTGCAGCCTCCTGGCAGCTGAGGTATCCATGTTTGGTCATGTACCCTAAAGTTTTTGGCAATAACATTTTTCACATCCTAAAGGAGGATATTCAACTGTCATTTGTGTCAGAGAGGGTTTCACTGTGTGCTTGATAATTAGAACCTGGCATGGTGTTTGTAGGAGTGCACAGAGCCTCAGAGGCCCGAGCAAGGATGCCTTCCCTGTTAAATTGTAATGCATGCAAGAAAACGTTTGGCAGATAGTGATGAACCTCCAAAGAGCACTGGGCTGCATCAAAGTACTTCCTACTGAAACAGAAAAGCAGACACAAACCAGAGGGTCTCCCTGGGCTGAAAAAATCAGCAAGGATTTACCTTCTGCTGAGGGTTTCTCCCCAGACATTGTGTGCAGTGAGGAGGCTGCTGGCTCTTGAAAGGAAAACACCAAAATTAATAATAACAGCAGCCAGAGAAGCAGATTTTCTTACAGAACAGAAATCTTTTTTCTTCTGTCCCCCAGGAGGTCATGGAGTGGTTATAAGTGCTTAGCCTTAATCAGAAAGACTCTTTTGGTATCCTCGCTGTAAGTAAATGCACCTCTAGTGTTAGCAGGTGGGTGAGGATTGCAAAAGGAAAATTCAGGTTTAGTGTCAGAGCACAGTTCTGGAGTGAGAGACTGATTTCCACTGGGCTAGTGTCTATTGAGTCAATAAAGTTGTTCTGAGTTCTCCCTGCTGTCTGTGAGATCACAATTTCTTGTAAATGTTTTTACTAATCAGTTTGGCAAAATCCTAAGATTTCCTGTGTCTTTCTTTCTTGCTCGGAATACACAGTTCATGACCTGTTTGTTAAAAAGAATGGAACTTGGAATTTTCAGGAATAGATGTTTTGCTTAGTGAGTAAAAAACCTATTATAATTTCTATTTCATTTATCTGCTATGACCTTTTCCTCTGATAAAGTATTATGGCTAAATCCCAGAAATCAAATTTCTGAAGGATGAATTTGATCTTTAGCTATAAAATTATTTTGAGGCCCTTTTGCAGTTTCTCACATGTACTGTTTTTGCCACTACAACCTCATAATTTATTTACATAAAGCATGTAGGTCTCTTCTTCATGACTGATTTTAACACCAGAGACAGAAAATTAGCAATATGCTAAGCCTTAGCAACCCAGTGGTACTGTGTACCATTTTCCTTTGTTTTGGAAGCCTTTAATATTGTTGGATGTATTAAAAACCTTCTTTAATAGAAGCAAGTTACTCTCAGTGGATTAAAAGTCTTCCTAAATAGAGGCAAATGAGTCTCAACGGTAGAGTTAATAGTGCACTCAAAAAGTTGGTGTGAAATCAACAGGAAAATTTCTGTGGGGTGAGGATATCCCTCCCTATTTTTCAGTCTCTTGGCTTTTGTGTAGGGTCTCTCTGTTATGCAGTGTTTTGACCATGGGGCCCATCCACTGTTAATATTCCTGTGGTGGAAAGCCTGCCAGTGTAAGTCAGCTGCAGATCCGCTGCAGTGTCTACCTGCTATAATCAAAATCACCAGGATCAAAAACTGAGCATGGAAAGCTTGTGATTCTGTTGACCCTTTCAAAAATGCAATATATAGCATCCCTGAGAAATCATGAGAAGTAATCAGAGGAATGTGTTACAAATCTGGTATTTAACTTCAGACCATCATTTGACTGTGTGTTATGGTGGTTTAGATTGAAGACCCTGGTATTAATAGCAAACTGTTTTAAAACACTGGAGATTTTTTTACTGACTTTTCAGAGAAATCCTGAAAATTTATTGGAAAGTAAACTAAATATAAATAATTAGAATAAAAAATGGATCAGTCTTGTGACATAGAAGAATGTTTTCATTCTTAGCTACTATTTTCAATGCATTTTACACCAAATAAAAGAATATTTAGGGTTAGAAGGGACGTCTGGAGATCATCAAGTCTGAACTTTTCCCTGAAATATACTTGGAGGTAAAACTGAGTATATATATGTTTTGTTAAGTAAATATGTCTGGAGAAAATGTGTTTTGATGTTGGGTTTTCCTGATATTTTGAAATGACAGGAGCATATAAATACTGTTTTTAATCAGTTGAGATCACAGAATTAACTAGGCTGGAGATCTTTGAGACCATCGAGTCTAACCTATGACCTAACACCACTTTGTCAACTAGACCATGGCACTAAGTGCCACATCCAGTCTTTTTCTAAAACACCTCTAGGGACAGTGACTCTACCACCTTCCTGGGCAGCCCACTCCAATGCCCAATCACTCTTGGTTTAGGTTAGAAGAACTTCTTCCTACCTAAACCTCCCCTGGCCCAGCTTAGGTCTGTGTCCTCTTGTCCTGTCTCTGATTCCCTGGGAGAAGAGGCCAAACCCCACCTGGCAGCAGCCTCCTTTCAGGTGGTTGTAGAGTGATAAGGTCTCTCCAGAGCCTCCTCTTCTCCAGGCTAAACAACCCCAGCTCCCTCAGCTGCCCCTCACAGGACTTGTGTTCCAGACCTGTCACCAGCCTTATTGTCCTTCTCTGAATATGCTCCACAATCTCAAATCCTTCCTAAATTGGGGGGCCCAGAGATGGACACAACACTCAAAGGTGTGGCCTCGCCAATGCTGAGTGCAGGAAAGGAATCACATCCCTAGTCCTGCTGGCCACACTATTGCTGATCCAACCCAGGATGCCACTGGCCTTTTTGGCCACCGGGGCACACATTGGCTCATGTTCATCTGCTGTCAATGAGGTGATGTGCATTGAAATATTCTTGTGAATGAGTTAAGTACAAAATATTCCCCTGAGATAAGACACTGGAGAAATAAGCTTGTAGGATCTGACTTAGAAAGGCACAGGATGTATTGTAGTTTTTGTGGGATACCCACTTAAAATACACTTCACAAAAGGAAACTTGTGAATTCAGTGGGACACATATCATGTAACTGGGAGGAAATGTGTGGGGGAAGGGTGGGGCTGGCTCCGCTTGCTCCAGAAGAACCAAGAGCCCTGTGGATTTTTCTCTTCAGGCGTCACAGATACAAAACACCTTCCAGACATGAAACGCGGGATGGATGACCCTGAGGGACACAGATTCAGGTAAGTGAAATTTCTTGTGGATCGTGACTGATTAGGGACTTAGATACCAAACACAAGTGCTGGTATCCTTTTTGGGCCATGCAGGTACTCCTTACGATAGCAAAATTCCAAGCTTCAAATGCCACCCCAAGTCAAGAATTGTAAGGCTCTACATGAGTAGAATGTGTGGTTAGGCAAGAGGCTTCCTGTTCAACCAAACCGTGCCATAGTTGTTGACAATAAATATTCGGTATCTTTCTCCGACGTATTAACGGCTAGGAGGCTGATGAACTGTGTGTTTGATTTATTGCTGCACTTTGTATTTTTAAATTTAGATTTTGAGTTTTTTCCCCTCTCTCCCAGAGTTCCACAGGTTGCTCTTTCCATGTTAGTCAGAAAAAGCGTACAGACAGACTTGTCAGTTTAACAGTCAATGTGAGCAGTAATTCTAGCATGAGGAGCTTAATGTATTACAATAATTCATTTTAACAACATGTTTATTCAGTCATGACAACAACTATAAACATAAGTACCATTCAGCTCTTTGCTGATATATGAACTTACTAACATCAAATCTTTACCAGAATCACATATTCTTACAGGTGTCCCAGACACAACGTTAACTTTATTAAGCAAAAGTTCATAAATAGTAAAAATGTCCTCTGTTTCACATTGCAGTGTTCCTTAAGCATGTACGTACAAGTTTGGAGTAACTTCTCCAAATCTATGTGTCATAAACTTCCTTAGCTCTTTGAACAACCATAGAGATGATTTTTTTTTGCCTGCAGCAAAGCCTTTTGTCCTTGAGAAATCTACAATTAGTATCACTCTCAGCAGACATGAAAGTTCATTTCTGAAATGAAAGTGGTGATGAAACACAATACAATATTATCTGCTCATAGCTTGCCTACACACTGTGCCCTCATTATAAATCTTTCAGTTATAATACACTCTCCTAAGAACAATATATCTCCCTTATATAAGTTTTTTATCTGCATTACCTCTCTTTGAAGATCTTAAAATGGTTGGCCTGCAGCAATGGAGATATTATACTTAGGGTGGAGTGTGTTTACAGTCAGTTCTTTTCCTTTTTAATATTTACACAGTATTTCTTAAGGTTGCTACAGTTTTAATCATGTACATTGACATATGCTTTCTGAAATGTTCACAGTGCAGTATTTTGTGGCCTAACCAAACTTTGTAAATGTCATTAAAAATAAACTTTTTTTTTAAATATAAAAATAGAATACTTTATGTGTTTACACCAGCAAACCCAGTTCTATCCTATTCTAAACAAACTATACAGTAGTATGCACAGAATTCCACAGGAACAGAAATGACATGTGATGTTTGCCCTAAAGTTATAGTACTCTTCCCTAATGAATAGAAGTTTTACTATCTCTTCTCAAAATTGTTCCTCTGGTCATAACTTAGCATTAAAAGAAGATAATTCACTGGGTTGTGTGATCCAAGAAGAGAGTAAAGAAGGCCTAAAGCCATTTCTTCTTTTGATCAGTCTTCTCTGCTCTTCAGGGCTGGTATGAAGAAATTACTGGTATACCTGCTATGGTGTGTCTTTTTAGGTCAGGGCTGCCTGCAACACCTCTGCTCCTTACTCAGCTTTGTTAGTAGCTCTACCCAAGGGTAGGTGGCAGAGCTTCAGCTGCTCACCAAGTGACTCACCAGACAGCAGCCTTCAAGTTTTAATTCCCAGAGTGATTCACTGTTTATTAAAAGAAATGGAAGCTTTTCATTTTACAGTAAGAGATCTGTTGCTGTAGACTGTTTGACTCAAATAAATGCTTGAATGTTGGAATAATGTTGACACTAGGAATGCTTTAAGCTAGATGATTTTCCCTTTGTTTTTTGTACCGTCTGACTATACCAGAGAACTGGTAAGACATAGAATGAGAGAATCAAAGAATGACCCACGTTGGAAGGGACCTTGAAGATAATATAGTTCCAGCCCCTCTGCTGTGGGTACATTGATGAATGTTGAAAATTCCAAGAATGGGGCATCCACAACTTTCCTGGACAACCTGTTCCAGTGCGTCACCACTCTCATAGTAAATAATTTTTTCCCTATGTCTAATTTAAACCTACTGTCTTTCAGTTTAAACTCATTCCCCCTTGTTCAGTCAATACATGCCTTTGTAAATAGTCTTCTTCCATGTTTCCTGCAGGCTTCCTTCAGGTACTGGAAGGCCGCAATTAGGTCATTCCAAAGCCTTCTCTCTTCCAGGCTAAACAATTCCAATTCTCCCAGCCTTTCTCCACTGGAGAGGTGCTCCAACTCTCTAATCATGGTTGATGATTGATATCCTACCTGTGATGGGGCCCCAGAGCTGGATGCAGCACTCCAGGTGGGTCTCACCAGACTGGAGAGGGGCAGAATCCTCTCCCTTGACCAGCTGCCCACGCTGCTCTTGATGCAGCCCAGGATACAATTGGCTTTCTGGGCTGGGAGGGCACTTTGCCTGCTCATGGGCAGCCTCTCATGCACCTCAAGGCCTTCTTGGCAGGGCTGCTCTGGATCTGTTCCTATCCAGCCTGGGATGATACAGGGGTTGCCCTGACCCAGCAGCAGCACCTTGCCCTTGGTCCTGTTAAAACTCATGGCATTTCCACAGCTTCCCTCTTGAGCTTGTCCAGGTCCCTCTGGATGGCATCCCATCCTTGCACCTCTCAGCTTGGTGTCATCTCCAAATTTGCCGAGCATGCACTCCTGCCCTTTGTCTATGTCATTAATGAAGATATTAAATAACACTGGGCCCCATGCAGACCCCTGAGGGACTCCACTTGTCACTGATGCCCATCGGGACTCTGAGCCATTGACCATTATCCTCTGGATGTGACTTTCCAAAAAACTTCTTATCCATCTAACATCCACCCATCAAATCTATCTCTCTCCAGTTCAGAGAGGAAGTTGTAGGGGGCCAAAACTTTAGAGAAGCCCAGATAAATGACATCTATACACTTCTCCTTGTCCACTGGTATAGTCACTCCACCACAGAAGGCCACTAGGCTAGCCAGGCAGGATTTGCACTTGAAGAAGGTGTGCTGGTGTCTTGAATACTGTCCTTCCTGTGCCTTCTAGGAGGATCTGTTCCATGACCTTCCCAGGCACAGAGGTGAGGCTGACAGGTTGGTAGTTCCCAGGGTTGTTCTTTTTTCTCTTCTTAAAGATAGGTACACTGTTCCCCTTTTTCCAGTCACCTGGGACTTTCCCTGACTGCTGTGACTTTTTGAATATCATGAGAGCAGCTTGGCAACTGCATCAGCCAGTTCCTTCAGGACTCTGGGATACATTTTATCAGGTCCCATAGACTTGTGCACATCCAGGTTCCCTGGGTGGTCATGAACCTGGTCTTTGCTTACAGTGGGAGGGGCTTTGCTCTCCCAGTCCTCATCCTGTTGTCCATCCTTTCAAGAGGTGTGGGAAGAAATGTTGCCATTGAAGACTGAGGAAAGAAAGTTAAGTACCTCAGACTACTCTTCATCCACCAGCACTGTTTGACAGAGGGGAGACACCTTCTTTGGCCTTACTTGTCTGATTAATGTACCTGTAGAAGCCCTTTCTGTTATTCTTTGCATCCCTTGCCAGGTTCACTTCCAGTTTTGTCTTGGCCTTCCTCACCCACTCCTTACTCAATCATACTTTTCTAAACTTAATTTACTGCACAGCATTTCTTGATTTTGATTTCTGTTAAGACACCATGAGGCTGGCTATCTTGGCTGCTTAGGTTCTTAGAAACCTTGTCGATGTAGGTCAAAAATCCAAAGTTTTCCCCATGTGGGATGAAAATACATTTTAAACTCTTGAAACTCTCATTGCATTTCTTGGCCTTTTGTGTGAAAACCATTTCTGCATTGCTCATTATCCTAAAATACATGCACAGTAACAGTTCTTCCAGCCATACTGATTGATGTTCTACTTTTACAGCATTTGTTCTTGGGTCTGAGCACACATTAATGACAGTTTGTGGGAACTAACTCTGGATGGTAGTGCACCACATTTCCATTTGGTAAATTGATGACATTCTCCAAATACTTGGAAATTATTGTGACAGTTCATGGAATCCTGTATCCTTAAACAATACGATATTGTGTCCTTGTACTAGTGCAACTTGGGCAAAAACATAAACATGTGCAACAGTGTTCTCACAAAGACCGGGCAGTAAAAACTAGTGACAAAATGTTTTGCTTTTGTTCATACAACTAAGAGTGGATTTTCTTCAATTTCAGACATACCCGTCATGTGTCAACATCCACATCTGTGTTGTCTTGTGATGATAGAAGAGAAGGATAGGGAGCAATGCACTTGACATTGACATAAGTAGCATTGACATGAACATAGTGTTCCCCAACAAAAGTGGAGAAGATTGTTGATATTTTTGAAACAAGTTCAGAAAATGCGGGACGCATCTCAGGTTTCGGATGCCAGCACTTCAGCATGACTTCATACCTGCCATTTAAACAAAGAACCATTCAATTATGAAATCACATAAAAAGAAAAAAACCCCAACTCTCTCTTTCCTCCTGGAGTCTCAGTTAATATAGTACCAGAATCATCAGCATTTGCAGAAGCCTTTGCAAACTATTTACTTACAGTGGATCCGGGCAGTATTCAGGTTGCAGCAGCCTTCTTCCTTGTAGTAAGTAAACAGTTATATCAAAAGAATTTACATCAGGATAAGGTGGTGCCCCTCGTGTCATAAGTTCCCATAACAATACACCAAAGGACCACTAAGAAAACAAAGAAATAAATAAAAAGTTAAAGGGTTGGAGGGCTTTACATTCCTGTTTTAGAAGATGGTTTGACAGATTTAAGCATTCAAATGCATGGATTTTCCCTTTGAAAAGTTGTTTTACTGCATTCAGCTTTCTTTTAAGTGGGCTAATAAATGCTGTAGGGACTTGAGGAGCCACTTAAATAAGAGCCAGAGAATCTCAACTAAGTAAATGAAAGAAAATAAAAGCCTATAGGCCTGCTACTTTGCTGGTATAAATTGGCAGACTTC